GAAGTCATAAAGAAGAAGCAGGCGAACTTGCTCCTTAGTAAGAGGGTAGGGCTGGTTCATGGCTGGAGAGCACCAGGGCTGTAATAATATACGGTTGTATGCCGAAGGACACGACCTACTTATAAACACACGCAGAACATTCTAGCATGCTCTGGAAAAAAATTGTACTGGATATTCAAGAAATTCCGAGAACTTTCTTTCCAATTAGATACCTATCAATTAAGTCTCGGGGACGAAAATCCATGGGAGCGAAAGTGGAAGACACTAAAGCGAAAGGCCGCACTAGGGCCAATGCTTTCATGCTCTGATTCCCCAAATCCAACCAGTGCAGGTTTCTGGTCCAATTTTTCCGGATAATATTCTCGCTTCACCAAAAGGGAAGACCAAGTTGGCCAATTTCATATCCCTATGTGGACAACTTGGGTGCATCTCCCATTTAAATCTACCGACAAAGAAACATGACGATAGAGAAGACAATTCAAGTTGGCATTTGATTCCCCAAATCGACCCGAGAAAAAGGACATGAATTGCGCTTGCCATGTTTGTTCAGGAAAGCAGAGTGAATAGTTAGTCGTGCTCTTAATCATGATCATTATTGCAATACAGTTCCTGAGAACTGTGCGTGTCAATCCGGAAATTCTTTTTCCTTCTGCTTACAGCACAGAGGGACTCTTGTAAAGTCTCCTGTGAAAACTAATTGACAAAATGATTGAAACTTGAAGGGTGGGTTACCGGATGCTACTCGTAGCCGGTGACAAAATAAGCAGGGAGTGAGGGCGCCAGCATCGCCTTGCATGCATTTCACATGAACAACCAACGGTATAATACTGTGGCAGTGCCCCTTGAGGCACACAATGCAACAGGAATGACCACCGTGCTATCGCTCAAAACTAGGATCGAACTCATTGAGTGATATTTTGAGAACGGCAGGTGCGAGGTCTCAATGCGTCAAGCAGCCATCTTCCGGCCTGTGCTCCAAGGAGGCTCTGCGACGCCCAATGTAGAAGTTCAGGCACACCTGCTCCATGACCAACGTCCTGGAGCGTGAATGGGGTGCATTAGGGATGGAAGTGGGGGCAGATGTTCTTCACGTTGTGCAGGAAGTGTCAGCAGAATCCCGCTTTCGGGCGATGAGCGCCTGGGAAGTTTGCGCGCTGCACCGATCGACCGATGGTGAGATGGTGGTGCCCTTGCTCTACGTTGCGTTCGTCACCGGGTACGAATAGCGCATGAACCCAGTACTCCATCCTCCAATTTTGCGTTCATTCCATCCAATATTTTTTGCAGGAGGCTGCCATCCATCGGTCAAAGTTCAATGTTCTCATTGAATCATGAACATATGAACTCAGCATTTTTCTATACACACTGGCATATACTTCCGCAATACATACAGGGAAGGTCTTTTTCAGTCATGGACATGTAATTGTTCAAAATTGATTTCATGTAGCCAATACGATTTGCATTTGACAACCACTTTTGTCAACTGAGTTCGAAATGGCCAATTTGAGAATCCTTTCCGACGAACTTGAGCTTCCTTTCCGTGAGTGTTGCCTTCGAACTTACTTCTTGATCAAGCAAGAATACTTGTCTGGACAAATCTGATTAGAAAACCCGTGTAGTTTGTACCCTTGGTGAAGTGGAACATATTACAGAGGTTTATTGCGCACGAATCCCATGAACTGCTTTACCATGATTAAAGGTCATATAACCCATAGATCCTGGGATACACATCCCTGAGTAGCTAAACCAATTTATTGGTCGCCCTGTACGTTATCCCGCACGAGTGCTTGATGAGATCACTAACGAACTCGTAAAAAGAAGTTGCTGAGTGTGCCTTTGAGACCCTTTCTGCGGCCACCCTTTTCCTTTCCTCCAACCATCCCTGTCGGCCATTGATGAGGTTAGAGACGCAGTCATCCTGCAGAAACCCTGAAAATTTTCATGGGACGATTTATTTTCCTACGTGGAGATCATAGTGTTGCACGTAATACTGAGCCGTGACTATTATGGTGTAAAACAATTACTTGCTCTTATTTTTATCGACCAGGAGGATGAAAGTTGTTTTTGCTCCTCTTTCTTCATAAGAACGAGGCTTCCTTGGTTTCGGGACACATGCAATCCGGTCATCAGGTCGATAGGTTCCCAATGTCTAATCAATATTCATTCCATGACATTGTTTGACGTGCGATTGACCATGGCCATAGAGAATATGATATTCGTATGAGTCCTTCATCCTCACGTTATGTAAATCGCAGAACTCCCATCGTACACGTCCCAAAATTGGTTCTGGTTCTGTGTGCCTCATTTACCCCAGCTCTCATTCATCATAAAGAAGAATGAGCTTTTGCAAAGTGCTTTGTGCCGTATATTATCCTTTCGGCAGAGAATCATTATCTTCCATGGTTTGGAACGTGCGTTTTGGCGGTCCTGTGTTGCCTTTTTTTTTATTCCTAGCGGAATTAACGTTGAATCGATGGAATGAATTCCAAGTTCTTTTTGCTACAATTTAGCGATATCTTCTAGGATGAAACATAAGGCATTCAGAAAAATGCACGTGAAAATGCGATATTGAATACAGAATCCATCTCTTTTATATATACTTATGCATAATTGTTATAATGAGGTGATGGAATTCGTGTTTTTTCAGGTGGTGTTGGTGTTCATTCTCAGCATCGCATCTCTCATCATCTACTTTATTGATGCGGAGAGGTTAGTTGTTTGGCTCGTTGCTTGTACGTATTCTGAAATTTGCCATGCTTTCACGGAAGCGCGAAGAAAAATCTTAATTCCCCTTCATCACTTTGAATGCATGACATAAAAGAGAGGGCGGACTCCATTAAGTTTCCTGTCGATGGATTACGGCCAGACTAATCCATTACGTAGGAAAGGATCCGTCTCCAGAGCGATTCCGTCAAAATGTGACACGAAATAATCTTGTTCGATATCGTTTTGCAATGCCGTGCATAGCACGGTTATGTCGTTCGATTTCTTTGAGAACAGTGGATCTGCATGGGAATCAAGTCACATAGGCATCATAGGAAGAGGGCGAAATGATACATCGCTGACAATAAAAAGTCAATGCCGAGCGTTCCTGCTTCTTTCCGATCACAGCAATCCCATTTTTCGATCACGAAAATAGAATGAGAATATCATTGAGTGCTAATATCAGAATCATCATTCTTTCTCGTTGTTCTCTCAGGATGACCTATTAATACAAACATCGGACGAGGGAAAATAAATTTTGTCAATTATTTTTTCCGATAAGTTTCGGTTGTTCCTTTCAAGAAGTACCGAAGGAAGGAAGTTGGTTTCATTCTGCTTATTTCAGTTAGGTGAACCACCCAGGGCGGAGTTTCAGTGTTCATATGGACCGAGCATGAATGACTCGAGCAACCACTTACATTTCTTCGCTTAAAAATTCCACACAATCATGGCACCCTGCCAAAGGGTGTTTTGATGAGTTGTTTTTATTGGCAAGTTTTGACAAGAGAATTCCCATCCATTTCCCATAGGAAATCAATACCTTAGAATTTTCAGCCGCCCCATGAACTTAGACGAGATACCTCCTTGCTCGTCCTTCTATTAGAGAAAAAATGTTTTAAAAAATACTTACATTGTAAGATGATGCTGAGTATATGGGTGATTTCTTTTGTATTACTGGGACTAGCTTTTTCCCGTAGTCCAGTCATTCGAATGAGAGCGACAAAATAATGAGAGATTTGTTCATGGAAACAGAGATGCCGTGGAACAGTGTCAGAGATGGTCGCAGAATACAACTCAACAGATTGATCTCGCCTTCAACATTTTCTTCATGATCTATTTCTCCATTCGGGTGAGCTACCCGAGACTGTGTTCCGTGTGTAAGCGGGATAAAACGTACGAGGAAACTAATTTTCGGCTTCCTTTTCTAAAGCTTATGGCAGCCAGTGATAAGTTTTGGTTCATGCTCGAGATGTACTCCTTCGTCGATTACTTCACGATTCCGCCCTCATTCGTTTCTATCTACCTGGATCGCACTTGGATTGGTAAGGCCTCGACTGGTGTCGTCATGCTTTCCGTGCTAATACGGGACACTTTCCTCATTCCTTGTTTGGACGTGTAGGGTTGAGGTTCCTGCGAGCCCTTCGCCTCATGACCGTTCCTGACATCCTTCAGTACCTGAATGTTTTGAAAACTTCCAGTTCCATCCGATTGGCTCAGCTGGTCTCCATTTTCATCTCGATCTGGCTTGCAGCCGCTGGACTCATCCACTTGGTCAGTACTTTATAATTAGTGCATGTCTGTGTCTGAAAAAAAGAAGAAAATTTGATTTTTGGAAGGAAAATTTGAGCGATGCTGTATTTTCTCCATGACGTCACTCCCGAACGGACGCGAGAAGACTTCACTGAAATTTGCGTCTTCTATTTCATAGAGAGCGAATTTTTTAATGCTTAAAATTTCATGTCGACATTGACATTGAAATGATGAATTGTGCAATGAAGTCATGAACTCTCGCCTTTGTGGAAACAGTTGGAAAATTCTGGGGATCCGTTCGAGTTCAAGAACACGCACAGCATATCATACTGGAAATGCGTGTATTTCCTCATCGTCACTATGTCCACCGTTGGTTATGGGGATGTGGCATGCCAAACCTTCCTCGGTCGCACTTTCATGGTCTTTTTCATCCTCGTCGGGCTGGTGAGTGGGATTTTCATCACGTTTTTTGCCATTCACCAGCCCCTTCCGTCTCATCGACCCTTTTCCCCGGATTTCTCTTCCCTTCCTCCTACACCATTTTCTCTTGGCACGTTAAGACGTACAGTGCAATCCAGTAGGAAGAATGAGACAACAGCTTGGTGAGCCGCCAAAGTATCGACCGAGCCCACCAATTCCTTAACTGGTAGATGAATGCAGATGAACAAGGTAATAGCTGTGAGTAATAGCGGATCTCTTGGGGTGTCTCGGATCTGGCTATAGTTTCAGTCTAGTATACGCTATCGTAGATGCTCAGGTTCATGCTGCGTAATGTAGGCCTAGAGGCAGCTGATGTTTGCTGAGTGTGATTTTCCTCTCCTTATAGGCCATGTTTGCAAGTAGCATCCCTGAAATCTTTGAGCTTTTAGGCCGAAGGTTCAAATACAGCGGCGAGTACAAGCGGGAATATGCCAAGAGGTAGAGAGGACATTTTTTCATTCTCATTGCTTATTCTATCCTCTCCTTCGTCTCTACGGCTGCTTTACCTCTCCTTTCCTTCCCGTTCATTCACTCAGATTTGTTTGAGTTCAGATCCACATTGTCTAGGGCGATGCGTGTAGGGAGAATGTGATAGATGAGGTGAGATTCCTGCCCATCTTTCATCCGTTCACTGATGAGTCAACTTTCTTCTCTTCCAGACCAGATACATACGATTCCATAGGTATGTGTGTCATATGGTTAGCAGGTCTCACCCACCCTGTATTACTTTTGTAAACTTGGTGTATCTGAGTCCATGCGTATCTGAGTGACCTCAAATTTCTTCATGTTTCTCTCTTTCTTCCCTCGCGAGTCGCACCCCACTCGTTCTTCCTCCCTTGTGGTGTTTGTTGTGCCTGTCAGCCATATCGTAGGCTGTGTTTGCAACTTGGATCCCTGAAATTGTGGAAATTAGTGGGCAATCGGTGTCGCTTTGGAGGCACCTTAACACGTAACTGTAACAATTATAATTAAAATCCATGGACCACCATGGATCCTTTCCACCCTTCACCATATGGATGAAGAACTCTTGTCCCTTGATTCCCTGAATGCTTTTTGACATTTGAATCCTTTTTTGACAATTTTTTTTAGCTTTTGCCGCTCTTGTCTCTTTGTGTGTTTCTGTGGTCATCGGTGTCTGGTGCGCATTATCACGATCGTGAATCGAGTTGAAGAGAGAACGGGAGGGAAAAGGTCTTTTACGCACACACACGCACACACACGTACCCACGTTCATGTGCTCATCAGTATCCCTTTCTTGTGACCCTCCTGGCGTCTGCTTCCCTGCATCACCACCTGCCCGCTTCGCACCCCTATCCCCTTCCCCGTTTGCTGTGTGGTTGTGGCATTGTGCGGAGTGCTATATGTGTCTTCATTCCGTCTCCTATAACTGTACTTAATTGTACTATGTAGAAGAATATACATTTGTACGTGTGGAGGGAATACACACCTGAATCGGCTCTTTTATCTTTTTGTCACTTACTCATGAAGGCAATCTTTGCAAGCTGCATTCCCGAAATCATCGATCTTGTCGGCACAAGATCCAAGTACGGCGGGACGTACAAGAATGAACGCGGACGGAGGTGAGATTCTTCGTCATGCCTTACCTCTAATTTTTGGTCTTACATTTGGTTTCAGTTTTTCCATTTCCCATTCATGTTCTTTTGATTCTTTTAATTCTGTCTCTGCGATTTCTCTCGGATTTGCATCTGGTACCTTCTAGTGCTTGTTTTTGCCGTTCATTGACTCTATCCCTGATGGAAGACAGGAGTCGTGTTTGGAATCCCTACAGTTCAGTAAACCTTTCCGAACATGAGCAGCACTAGCAGTATCGTTTGTCTTACTTTTAAAAATCATATTTCGTGGACATTATCTCCTCTCATGAGCTACTGCTGACAGGTGGCAATGTATAATAATTTGCGAGATCCAAAGTTCAAAATTACATACAAGTTTCATGTCAAACTTCGTTTCTCGTATCTTTAGTTCTTCGTAATATGCCAAAAAAGTACGATGCAAACTGTTACCATGCTTTACTTGGACAAAAGAACTTGAATGAACATATTTTGATGTTTCAGATGACGTCAGCTGAGTGTATGGTATTAAATAGGGTTGCTTTCAAATCCCACGATGGCAAAAAATTTATACGATCATTTCTTTCTTTTCTAGGCACATCGTAGTTTGTGGGCATATCACATTCGAATCCGTGTCTCATTTCTTGAAAGACTTCCTCCACGAAGATCGAGAAGATGTGGACGTGGAAGTCGTGTTTCTCCACAGGTAATTAATTCATTTCGTCATGGTTCTTTCTTCACAGTCCATCAATGTTAACTGGAATTGTTTTATCTCTTAATCTTTGAACGGTTCGTCAGTGATGACAGGGATTATGGGGAATAGGAAACAACAGTCGTTTATTTCATTACCTGTCGTTGTGTCACTTTCCGAGAGTGTTTTCCGGTTATGGTGGTTGCACAGATTACGACTATGCCTAAATTGGAAAAGAGATTCAACTATGGGCATGGATCACCACACAGTCATGCTTTCTAGGCATCTTGAAGGATGAGCTTACGGAATGATCACCGCTACGCAAATGAAAGCTCTGGCATGTCAGCATGGAAAATATTTCTGAATTTACAACTCAACAGGTCCACTAGGTTCCGATTTTGCGCGATTGCGCCTCAGTGATATACTAGACTTGATGAAAAGTAGTTATGCCCATTCTCAAATGTTGAAAGATAATCTGCTGGTTGCATACATTTTTCGATGTAAGTTCTTAAATGCAATATACTTATATTGTAATAGTTTCTGAACTACTTATTTCGTTATCTCATCGGACGCTGGAATCTAGAATTTCCAAAGTAGGATCATTTTATATCGAAGGTCCCAGTGGGTGTGAGGGTCATCTTGCGGATCTAGATGAAATTTGGCCTGTTGCTTGCCCTTACTGTGGAACGTACCTTGGTCAATTCGTTCCCACTGGCACTCCTAGATTCCGAGACTTGGGATAACAATGTGTTTTTGCCCCTTTAGATGCCCTTACAGCATAAAATCTTGGTATTTCAAATGAACTGAGTTATCTTAATGTTCTTTAGCTCATCTGGAAACTCTCGTAGAGTTATTTTGAAAAGTTTTCAAACGGCTTTGGTTATTTTTTAACATTTTAACTCAAATTGTTTTTGATATATTGGATGACCTGCACCAGATCCGTTTAACTTTAAACTGATTCGTTTTCATAATGGGTGTCTATGGGAATAAGTATATTAAACTGATTCCCATAGGGGACCATTGCGAGATCTGATTAGTTTAGCTTAAACGGATTCGGTGCAGTGCACCCATCAAGAATATTACTTTGCATGGACCTCATTGCACCCTAAGGGGGGAACAATTTGTGAACCCATATTTTGGAAATCATTAGTGTCGATAGGAAAAAAATAGCAGAGGCACTTTTATCAAGAAAGGCTTTCATGGTACATTTCAACTAAATCCGTGAGGTGATTCCTCGGAACTTTTTTTTCCAGAACTGGGACACTTGAGATAGAATGACCCATTCTGGATTCTGCATTGATTAGGACTGAGCAAGTCAGTATCTGGAGGTGTCGAAGGTCTCAGTTTCTGGAAGCCTTTCTGAAATTTGCAATTTTGGTCGTACACAGTTTCCTCAAACGACTCATTTCCTAGTATGATGAGTTTGCTTTGTACATGCACATATCAAAATGGTTGAAGAGACCTCTTTCGGCTTCTCCTCTTCCTGGACCTACTTTTTCAATTCTTTGCATCTAAAAATTGCCAAGAACCATCCATTATCGGTTGTTTTGTTTGAAATCCATGAATTTAGTCTTTAACCGCATTCTCAGGTTCACAAGGAGTTTTACAATGATTTATTTTATTTTAAAAGTGAATCTGTGTTTTTTATTATTTCAATTTCCACAGGAACGCCAGAGCAGTTCTATCATCAGTCTCTGCTTTTCCCCATGATTAGAGTTGTAATAATACAGTAGCAAAGGGTCCGATTTCGTCCCTGGAATGAAAAAGGATCCAGGTGCCAAGAACATCTGTTGGCGGATAGCCCGTTTCTCTTTCTAGGGACAATATCCCTTTTTCCATTTTCCGAAGGCGTAATTTATTTGAGAGTACCATTACTGTGAGAGGATTCCTTTCTTACCTTGTACCCCTCCTCCCTGAAAGGTTTTCCATTGGAGGAACTGTTCTCGATCGATTATGATCTATTGTCTCAATCCATGCACTTCTCTGCTTTACAGTGTCACCTCTAAGAATCACATCATATAAAATTACGGATGTGTCACATGATGACTAAGACCTTGCTCAGTGACTGAAATTCACTTGTCTCTGTAGGTGTCAGTACTGGCATGGATTTTGCCAAAGAATGTTTAGAAAATGTTTTTCTTGGCCCTTACTTAGTTTGCATTGAGTTATCTCTATTTTTATCCTCACATTCAGCTCCTGGAGGTCTTGAGAATTTTCAGGACTGATGGGATTTTGGTTTCAGGTTAACGGAATAGTTCACGATCAAATGTACCTCTGTTTAATAATCCTGTAAATCATGCCGGAGAGCTATGTCAATTCTATTACATATCGCACTTTTCTTATTTGACTGTTTTTATTTCTTGGAAAATTTGCAGGAAATGAGGTACGGTGGTGTATCCAAAAGTATAGGGACAAACAGCTGCAATCGTCGTATGCGTTGTCTCTTCTTAATTTCACTTAGGGGATCCTTTACAATACAGCTTATGTGCTAATCAAAGTCCGTCGTCAGGGAAAAGGCCATGGGGCAAAGAAAGTGATACAGAATTCCAAAACCGTGGGTGAATGGTACGAATCCTCATCAAATTGACCAACGATTCCGATGCTATCGTGAACTGTTGGAGTCGGGTACTCTTCATGGCTATTATTTGAAAAAAGTGCAAGTAGGTCTACTGCTTTTGGTCTTTTTCTTCTTACCCGGAGTCAGCTGCATGACTCAAAGGGGACCCTGCGTGACCCGTAATTAAAAAAAAACGCTTCTTGACCATGAGATCGATTAAAATTGAATAAATTCTAATGGAACAGGAAAAAGTTGTCCTACATCTGATGCCAGTATGGCATGATTACTTTTTTAGACTTAGATATGGTAGGGAGTTAAAAATCCCTTGTTCATTTTGGAGCCTCCCTGCAGCGAGGAGCAAGTGCCTTGTCTCTGCTCAAGCGATTTTATTTCAATGAAATCTCGTTTGTAATCTTGCAGCCAGCATATCTTATTTCTTGCACATTTTCAAGCAAATAAAAGAAGTCAAGCACGCATCATGGTTGAGTTGACATGAAATGGTCCTATACTGACCGAGAAGAGCTGCTTATCTCGCTGCTGCTGCCTTTCGTTTCCAGCGAGTCACCTTTAAAAAGTAAATGAGCCCCCAAATGCAATTGCCTGGGTGCTCACGAGTGTAACTGTCAGCGTGAAGCGTTTGTCACCGTTTCCGGGAAAACGACTACTTTTACCTTCACTAGATTTTCATCACAAGTGCGATGAACTCGACATCTATTTTGTTTTCAAAATTCCACCTGGGAACAAAGTCATCATAAAAGAAATGTGAAATCTATAAGCTCTCATAAAGGAGAATTTTTTTTTGTCTACATTTCAAGAAGCAACATCAGAGATAATGACAAACTTGGATTTGGACCAAATTTAGCGCAGAGGAGAGAAAAATCTGGAAATACAGACATTTTGTTGCCAAGGTCAATTCAAGGTCACACAAGTTTGGTAAGAAAAGGGAAAACTAAGGAGATCCTAAGTGTAGCTTCTCATCTTGATATTCCCCATAAATAGTCCCTTCGTAAGTTTTTTAAGACTTGGTAGGAAGAGATGGGCACCTAAATTGCTACGAAAAATTTTCAGGTTGCAAAATATGTTCCTTCGATTTGGCTAAAATGCAGATTTTTTCATCATCTGCCTGTCAATTTTCCAAAACGTTTTCTGTAACGTTGGATAGGCCTAGAGCCTTTGTCCTCATTAAACCCACACTGGTATTGGAGAATCATCAGAGTCGTCGCACAAGGAAACCAACCAACAATTATGAAAATTCATATATTGCGACATCTGACTCATGCAAAAGAATGAACTTTTACAATGCCATTAGACTGTTGCCTCAAATTTCATTCACTATACTTTACAGAGTAGAGATTGAGACGAATTGCATTTGAAAAGTGATCATGGGAAGTTTTATGTGCGTTTCTCTATATAGGCAAGAGCCTGATTTGGAATTGGAAGGGCTCCTCAAGAGGCATTATACCACTGTTGAGTTTTTTCTGGGCTCCTTGATGGCAGCTTCTGACTTAGAGAGAGTCAAGGTAGCTGCATATCTTATCGAGCCTCGAATAATTTTTCTCTCATTCTCTTTTCCTTTCCCTTTTCTCTGTTGGGGCATCATGCAATTCACTCATTTTCCTGTGTAAGCATGCACGTGAATCCCCTAATTTCGTGATTGCATCACATATTCTTTCCCCGTCTACGTCACCACGGTTTTTGCCTTCTTGTTGGTTATTCCACTTTTAACAAATCCCTGTATCCTTTCACCCCTTTCTTTCTGAAACCGATAGAAAGCCACCCGATTTGGAACTAGAGGGATTGTTTAAGCGGCATTTTACCACAGTTGAGTTCTTCCAAGGCTCCATTATGAATCCTCTTGACCTGCAAAGGGTCAAGGTGAGTCGATGCAGCCCTGCAGCCAATATATATGTACTTGTCTATGTCTCGTGTCTCTGTGGTCTCTATGCTGTTCTTTACCTCCTGTCCCCCTTCAGTCTCCACTAGGTTGAAGTACTCGTAAAGAACTTTCTTAGATCTATACCTCGTATGTCCATAATCGTTGGTGCCTGCCGGTTACAGTGTCTTGACGCGAGGTGAGACCTTTCCATCCTTCCCAGCATGAAGACATGCTCTGTCAGAAACATCGGGATATTTTCAAATTTTGAAGACTGAATTTCTGAAGCATGAGGTTACTAGTCGGTACCCTGGCAACGATCGAACATGAAAAGGCTTGGTCTCCTGACCTGAGCTCTCGGTCCTTTTCTGTCTCAATCTCCCTGGCTAACATTTTTCTATACTTATTTATTGATGAAACTCTTTTCTATAGAAATATGGGGATGGTGAAAATAAAGGGTGTATGGGAAAACCATCCCCTCTCCTGTCGGGCATGTATACCTTGAGCAGTTTGCCAATAATTGCAGAAGCCCGCTTGGTCAATAATTTCTTTAACTTCTTAAAGTTACTGCAAGAAGCATGGAAACAGTGCCCTCATTCTCTACTGAAAGCTTGTGTGAACGCCGTTCTCATCGCTTACTGCTTGCTTTCACCTCTATTCCCTTCGTAGTTGCAACTTGTCTCTTTATGCATAGGCACTTCGCCACCAATGGCGGTTCGTGATCTGCAGCAGTAATATCTAGCAGAGCTGAAAAGCTACTACTGTTGCAGATCACGAGCACACGATTGCTCACGAAAACGATTGTTCACCACGAGCAAAAAGTCCGTGATCCACGAGATCCCTGTTCCAGCCCGACTGCATCCGCGTCAACATGTCGTTGCGCACAGTAAGATACGATAGGATAGGTTACGAGGAGCAAGAGGCACAAGGCCCAGGTATGTGCCTTCGCTCTGGAATATCAGCTAACCCTCCCGCTCATCTAAGCTCCACCCCTCTGTAGCCTCACATATGACCAGAGTAATCTTTGACTCGAAGAGATTTAATTGACCCTTCCTAGTTACTTCCGGGGATACTCGAACCCATCTTCCCCACTGGGGGTCGTTTCAAATCTTGTGGCGAGAGTGTGGAGTGCGGAGGAGTGTCCCCAAATTTGCCAGGGCCAGCACGAGACTAGAGAAGGCTCGAACTCGGTCGGTTTCCAGCCAAGGTCTCCTGTTTCAGGATGCAATGAGTTCTGTGCGACCTGTGTCAAGTCAGGTGAAGGGGTGAAGAGTTCCGGTACATCTCGTTTTCGAAGCATACTTTAAAAGTGTACACTATGTGTGTCTCGAGAAGTAGGGAAAACATGGGGTTTGTCGCAAGGGGAAAATAAACATTTAATTCTACCATCTGAGCGCTTCTGTCTGATGAAATCCATGTTAAATATACGTTCTTGTTTGTTCTTAGAAGAAAACTTAAAAAAATCTATTTGCATTGTTGTCAATGGGAAACCTTGTCATGCCTGCTGCACATTCTGAAATGGTACGAGAAAGGATATTGAAATGATGGAGGGGGGTGGGGGGTGAAATATGTAATCTTCTGTCGCCACATATTCCACGGTCTTGTTTTTTCATTCACCTACCTCATTAAATAACAATCACGTGATAATAGGTCATAAATGAATCTCATTCTCATTATGAAAACGTTGAAGCAATCCTGAAATTCATGTCATAATCACATATTCACTTCTACATACCTTGTTCACTGTTGAAGGACTTGGACTCTCTCCTCCATTCGCACTAGCCGGCCTCCTCTCTCTTCTTCCTTTGTCTGTCCCTTTCTCTCGTGCATGATATTTGATATGATTAGTTGATCGTGGTCTCGTTGAAATCCTGTCTCTTGTGTTTGCCTGTCCTTTGTTGTTCCTGTCATTACCATGGGATTCCCCTACTGTATAGCATACTAGCACTTTCCCTAGCTCTTCTCTGTTTGCTGTTAGCAGCTGCGGGGGTTCCCAACTGGAGGTCGACGATGTTAACTCTGATATGCTGTGTAACCCTTTTAACGAGAAACCCTGTTTCTCACTACGGCTAAGACCGACGGTTTGGAATCCCCTCATATGCGATGATATGCTTCGTGCATTTGAAATGATATAATTATTTTAAAGCAGTAATGGAATGCATTTTTAGTCAGAATCCATAATGAAGCTGTTCCATGGTAATATCCATCCTTGTGGCACTTCACTGCATACCCAAGATTCCGCCACCAATATACAGGATGGCTGAAAAGTGTGTCCCCATTCATTTGCCTGCTAGCAGGAGTCCACGCCTTCTGTTAGTTATATTGCGATATGAAGGTGATAATCTAGCATTTAGTGTATGTAACTGTCGTGAAGTGTGCCCAAATAGAGGCATGGTTTGAAGTTTGACAACCAGTGATGACAGTAGGCCACAGCATTTTTTCCTTAGCGATTCCTAGTTGCCGTAGTTGAAATATAATGCTGAAATAATGGAATAATCATGGCACCGCCATTTAAGTTCTTATGCAAGTCCTGCTTTCGAGCCCTTGGCAGTTTCCGCTCAAATCACTCTGAGTTCACATGTGTAAAATAAATTGTTAATTAGATGATTTCGCCGAGGTGGGTTGCATTTGGTTCCATCGTAAGTTTTGAGTGCACTTAAATTTGGCGTGAAATCTTACCCTGGCGACTCCCGAAGAAGGAAAGGGGGGAGCGGAGAGAATCTGTTATTCCATGAGTTCATTTTGGGTTTCGTGCTTCAGTCTAAGAATTAAAAAAAGAAACACTGTTAGTGTTACTTTTCAGCCACCCTACAGTCCAAATCAATGTATTACAATGGAACGTCTAAAAGTATAATTGTAAAGAAAACGTAGGGATAAACACGACGCGACGAGTAAGCATGACGTGACGTGTGTATCTTCTTGAACAGAATCGATTGCTTCTGAGAAAGGTGGGACACGGGATGTATTTGAATGTGTGTGATGAAACAGGTGCACGAGGCGGACGCATGCCTTGTCTTGGCCAACAAATACTGTCAAGATCCAGATGCCGAAGATGCAGCCAACATCATGAGAGTGATCTCAATCAAGAATTATTCCGATGACATTCGAGTCATCATCCAGCTCATGCAATACCACAACAAGGTCTCACTCAGTCTGCCTCCTGATTCCCAGGATATCCACCCTTTACAATGAAGGTGACATGCATATGCATCCCATGCAGGCATATCTGTTGAACATTCCAAGCTGGGAATGGAAGCGAGGCGACGACGTCATCTGCTTAGCCGAACTCAAATTGGGATTCATCGCGCAGAGTTGCCTTGCTCCCGGTTTCTCCACCATGATGGCGAACCTCTTCGCCATGCGTTCCTACAAGACAGTGAGCCTTTCGATCTATCCAGCATCAAGATTTTTTTTTTTATCTTGAAAAGAATGCAAGTGGATTAACACTGAGCCAGTTCACGCGTGCACAATGATTCCATTCCTGTTTTGACTCCACCATATTTCTTGACAGCACTTTGCCGACTTTTAACTTGCGCTGAGTTGTCTCGTCGATCAGGATATGTGAGAAGAAATCATTTTGCATCGCTCGTTCAATTTTTAAGGCCTAAGCAAAAATAGTCGATAGCAAACAAAGTTAACACGACGTTGGTGGGCCGCACGCTAATTCTGGATGATACCCACCATAAAACTGGCGGCTGAACACCATGTTCCTCTCGCCTCCTGAGACTTGGGAGGGCCACTGAAGGCTCAGTATCCATAAACACTCTCCAAGGCCCCATTAGAGGGCCGCATGCTACGTTTAGATGTTTTTGAGATGTATTTATTGCAATGGTAATATTGCAATTTCAGGTGCTCGAGATAATCGGTGTACAGTAATACCCCGCTTAGAGCTCAGAATGCGTCTGGAAGAGATAGCGCTAACTGAAGCAGCGCTAAAAGGTGTCATTATACCATTGTATATATTGAGATGCGAATGGAGCTGTGAATATTCTGACTCATAACTTTTGACTAGTATTTTGGATTTTTTTTGTTTTCTGTAAAAATATTTCTCTCCAGGATCAAGAGCGCTATAACGAAACCGCTATACGGGGCAGCGCTAAGCGGGATATTACTGTACTTTATTTCATTTTAAATGAATTTATTTGTTTAATTTTAAATGGAGATATTTAAATTTGTCAAGGTCCACCAAAATGTCAAGCAGATTCTCCGAGAAGGATTTAATTATTATTCCATATTTTCATATATCAAAATAACCTTGCAAATCGAGTTGAAGGCGAAAGTCTTCGATATTTACAGTACATCCCATTTCCATAGCGACAGATGAGAAAATGGCAGATATTGCGTTAGATTTTTTCCTTTACTTTTTTCTCTCTGTCCGCAGTTGCCATAACAACTGGAGTATTTTTGTTCTCGGCTTAAAGCGTATGTGCAGTCTTCGGCCTGGGTCAGGGCGGCAGTCATTGACTAAAACTGCCAGTTCCCACCCAGTCCTCGCAGCTGAAGGATTCGTAGGTGGCAGAGGGATCGGCTGCACGTGACAGCGTAGACAGAGTTACTTGTTGAATTCATGAAATGCCACTTCAAGCATTTTCACGTATTAGACTCCTCATCTCCCATTTCCAAATATCGGATTTCTACTGTTCCATGCACGTAAATGCCTGCCTAACCGTCCACAATACACTTGCCATGCATCTTTTTTCCCATTTCATATGTCTGCATTTGCCATCGTAACCTATTGTGTGGGTGGTAAAATAGACCTCTACGTTACTATAGCCTCAGAACTAATGAAACCTAGCTGATGATATTTGAGCGGTAGCTACTGATCGTAAAGCAGTGTCTATGGTGACCAGTGCTATAGCGTCTAGTGGAATGGCAGATCTGTATTTGGGCTGGCACTCTAGTTGTGATTTATGATTAGATAGATAGTTGTTTAAAAATGACAAAGTGAGTCCCTTCAAGAGTCTCGGATGGAAACATATAGAGACACTCTCTCCAGCCTTCGGTCGGATGCCAATCTTTGTTGCTGCCGTGTACGTCATAAGAAACCAAAAAATCAATTAATTTTCCCTGCAAGTCTCCCTGCACTAGGCTTAATTTATTTTCCATGTCCAGGAGCATTCCACGAAAAACTATTTTAATAACCACTGTTCTGAACTGTCATGATTCCGGTATATTATTTGCATTTGCTCTTTTTGTTGCCTTTCACGAGCACTCTCTCTCTCTCTCTCCTCGGTCTGGTGCTTTCTCACCAACCAACCAATGAACCACCGCTGCAGTCATTAGATACGCCAGAATGGCAGAATGCATACTTGTGTGGCACAGGTTGTGAAATGTATACAGAAACGCTCTCACCCGCCTTCACTGGACTCACTTTTCCTGAGGCTGCCGAGTGAGTGTCTCTCCCTCCTCTCTAGTTCTTCTCAGTTTTTTTATTTCCATTCTGTCCTCCTTTGCATGCTTTAGAACTCAGATGATTGGGTAATTAATATCAAGTAGTCCTGTTTCTAGGCTTCTTTGGCTGCTTAAGATGTATGGAAATGTCATTCTAAGGAAACGGTTGTCAATACGCCTGGAATTTCTGTATTTAAAAAAAAAGCTGCCACTTCTCTGTGACTGTCATTCGTGAGATGTCACTGGAATTCCATTGGATAATATGGTTCTATGGCAGGAAAATTAGCAACGATATACAACTAGAAGCAAATTGAAGAAAATTTTCCATCTTGAAATGTTTTCATGGGTATGCTAGTACTACGGGCATTCGTGAGGGGCGTTCACATCATGGACGTGACATCAAGATAAGGCATGAACGTCACTGTTTCACTTGACACTTCATGCTCCCGGATTGTGTGCTTCGGGATCGAGTCGATCGACAGTAATACTTAATAACAATTATGGACGCTTTGATTGCTGGAAGCACATCAGCCTTCCTAGATGGTTTCACGGGAAACAGTGGCATGGCATACGTCTACTGAGTCTTCAGTTATCCCGCTTCAGTTGACAAACATTCATCTCCTTCTCATCTAATCTCGTCTGCACATTCGAAGTTCTGCACGAATCTGATGACGGCTGTTGAAAGCTTTGTATAGTCAAGGGTGAAGACTCTTGAGATCGATTGCAGTGGCATGTGGAAATAATCTTGCAATGGATCCGAAGTGCGTTTAGTTCAGACCTGCGGCAGATTTGCAGCTGCAGTGGTGTGGTTTATGGGGTCCGTTGCGGTTCTCACGTGTTTACATGCATGCAGATTGTGCTTCTCCAAGCTGAAGCTCCTTCTGCTTGCCATCGACCTGAAAGGTGAAGATGGGAGTGATTCCAAGATCTCCATCAACCCCCGCAGTGCCCGCATCTTGCCACACACTCAAGGTTTCTTCATTGCTCAGTCCGCCGACGAAGTGAAAAGGTCTGACGTCTCTTTTGTTTCATTGCCAGAAAGATATCCTTTAACAAATTTTGACGTTCTTCCTTTAACAGGGCCTTGTTCTATTGCAAGGCGTGCCACGAAGACATCAAGGACGAGACGTCCATCAAGAAATGCAAGTGCAAAAACCGTAAGTACAACTCCATTCTTTTTCTCTATTTCCTCCCACGTCACTTGCTTTCTTTCCCATATTCTGCATCGTGATTAGCCTTAGGAAAAAAGCCACCCGGAAATAAGACCCCCAGAATTGGCAAAGGCGGAAAAAAACCACCCGGAAATAAGACCCCCAGATTAGGCAAAGGCAGAAAAGTGCCATCCAGTTATGTTCAGGTCAGATTGAAGACTCATTCATTTTTGCGACATTTAGTGATATTGATTTCATGTAATTTGATCAACTTCACTGAAATGTTATGAAACATAAAACAAAGTCCAACTTCAGCCCATTCCTTAAAAATGAATATTATGGCTGGAAACCTTTTGATTTTGACCGTGTCGCAGGATGAGATGATTACACTCTCTGCACTTCTTGGAATTTTTTCTCAAATAACAATTGCTCTGGAGCCATGTAAGGTTTTTATTTTTATTTTATCTCCCTCATAACAACTTTCACTCCTTTTTCCGGGGGGTGGAGAGGATCAGGATTAGCTCCCCTCCTCAAACCAATACCCTGAACCGCCCATTGCCCCCACCCCCACTTCCATCCGCAGTCCCTAAGTCTGTTAAAGTCCATGTTCATAACGGGACAGTCCTTCCCTACATTATGAATGTAGGAAAATAATATTTCTATAGAATCGATTTAAAGAAGTGCTTTCAATCGAGAGATGTTTTTGCCTTTTCCATTCTCAATGAATGGAAACGAAAAATCAATAATATATTAATTGAAAAATTGGTGGCAATTCATTGAATATTAAAAACATATTTAAAGAAGTGCTTTCAATCGAGAGATGTTTTTGCCTTTTCCATTCTCAATGAATGGAAACGAAAAATCAATAATATATTAATTGAAAAATTGGTGGCAATTCATTGAATATTAAAAACATAGATAACAGTCACATAACTGCATGAATGTGTCTTAAGGTCGCCAAGTGAATGTCTTTAATTATCGGATACGTATAAATATAGATAAATGAGAAATTATTAAGCAATGACCTGGGTAGCTTTTTCGCATTTTCATCTCGGGTGGCTTTTTTCCGAACCCCGGACAAGGTACAACCCTGGAACAACGGCCCCGGACGAAATGACCCCGAAAAGAATAAATAATAAGCTCAAACCGAGCATTCTTAATGCCTTTGACAGTATAACTCCACTCCAACTCCACTCCACTTTTTCAAATTTCCCCTTCCGTAAATAATAAGCCAAAGGCTGTTTTGATGTTTACTAATGACAGCCCATGCTCCATTTTGGATTTCATCATTGCCACTTACCATCACCCTTTGTTGATGAGACCTTTGCAATTTTGAGAGGACAAGAACTGCACGTACTTATCAATCTGCAAACACGTCTGCAAGACTCGATTTTGTCAGGATGACTTCCTCCAGGTTTCTCGCGCGATTTGAAGTCTCATTCGAGTCGCAATTCTTGTCGATGGTCCACATCTATTTTTATTCGATCTTCATCAAAGATCAAAATCAGATAATAAAAAAATAGCTGTGGCCGGAGCCACCACGCAGAGGCTCACGATGGGAAGGGAATGTTCAACGGAGTGATGAGTGTACGCAGACGGCGACTACTTCCTGTTTCACCTTTCCCGAATACGAAGAGTTCGGGCTCACCCAGTCCAAATATAGAAATCCAGACAGACTGCGAAGAGGCAAATGCAAACCCTTGGGATGGGGGAAGAATGTAATACCTTTTTACAGACGTGACAAAATCAGACACCGATGTTCTCTATCTTGCCCCACTTCACGATATCGATCTTCCATCCTTTTGCCCGTTCTTTCCCTCAGCCAGACCAGTGCTTTCCAAGTATTAAAGAAGACCGTACCACCCTGAAAATAGTAACTCTTTCTTTTCTTGGGCCTTCATCATCCTCATTCTCTTGAATATGGAAGACGTGCGAAATAATGGAATTCAGAACATGTGCAGGACTAATTAGTCATTTGGAAACTTCGAGTGTAGCGATGATGCTTGCACCTGTCTGTCAAAAGTACGAATCACTTCATTTGATCTTCAGCCAGCCAGAAGTTTTCTATGTACTGCACTAGTTGATTCCTGATGTTGTCCCAGCCTTTTTGAACCACTTGGAAATTCCATGGGTCAATAATTCCATTCATGAGGCTCCGGTCGGGGTGACAAAATGGAATGTGACGCATACTTATGATCGGAGACTGTTGGGGTCAGTTCAAATGTCGATTGTCATATAGACACCACTGTCTTGGAGAGCGTTCAACTCATCATTCTTCAGCTCATCTCTCAGAGATTCAGCGCCATCATATGTTCTACTAGATTCAGTCGTCCTGAGACACATCACCTCTACTCTGAGTAATAAAGTCTCTGCTCAGCACCACTCCCTCCCCAGCTCTTATCTGGTTTGCGAAATGGGTTGAAGGGAATGGACACCTTAGGCAAACTTATCTGCCATTTGGGCTTGATTGCATTCGTAGCCCCCAGAATGAAGGTGTATCTGAGATACATCCCCTCAACTCCTGAAGGGCAGAAGAGCACCAAAGTCCTACGCTGAACGAAGTCCTCCCCTTGGGTTTTCCCCCTCTTTTTTCACAAAGGGAATCCGTGACTTATAATGATTAGCTCCTATCTTCTCTTTTTTACACGTCAAGATTACTACACAGGATATCCGGGATATGATGTGAATGGAACCTCAAGAAGCGTGAAGTGGTGAATCAACTTCATTTTTTGTCCAGAATTCATGGATGAAACAGGGGACGTCGAGAGCCGAGAGCGAAAAGATGAGTATGAAGACTGGTGGTTCTCAAATACCTTCTACGGGATTCCAAGTAAAAGGAACTNTGGAGGAGCAACACAAACCTGAATGGCCTGCAAAATAGCAGACACTTGAGCCCTTCTGTTTGGCAGAGGGAGATGGAGGGGAGGATCCTCCATCTCCAGCGTACACAATAGACGGCCCGAGAACATTACACCTTGAATGTCCCGTACAAATTCAGGGCTCTTGCCTTGCTGTTGGGAACACAACTCTACATTTGTCTACAACTAACATGACTATTTGAGATGATATCAAAACAGCTTGTGTGCATTTCCTGTGCCATACCAAGAACTAGGAAAGATGGAAGAAAAAATATTAAAGCACCAACATAAATCATACATGCTGGAATGAGGAATGGGGAGAGGGGGGGGGGGTAGAAATTCGGTTGACTTGCTGCCCCATCCTCTGGACATTCTCTGGACTTTGGATTGATTTTTTTTAAACAGAGCACTATCCAATAATGCAGTTTTATTCTCAGGAAATATAATGTATTTTCTTTGAAAGAAAGATGCATTATCGGATAGTGTTCTGTTCAAAAGCCCACCCTTTATCCCCTGGGACCTTTCCTTTCGCGCTCGGCCTAAATAAGCCATGGAGTGCATATTGGCAGCCCAGACGCAACGACAGAGGCATTTGAAAATTTCATTTCTGATGTACCTCAGGGAAAACATAATTTCATCTCTTGGAACTCTGCATAATTCATGGAGAATGCTTTGAGAATCCATGAAGATGCAAACATGAATTAAATCATTTCTTCATTGTGAATCTAAAACTTTTAATAGTGACCCTCGTAGATATGAGTGACGCAGAAGCCCATTTTCATATAATCTGAAACAATGTGCAGTAAGACAAGTAGAAAGTGGCTCACGAGTGGTAGATAGTTCAGATCGTTGTAGGACAATTTCACCATAAAGTATTTCATTTAAGAGTTGATAAGTGCAGGGTCGTGCAAAAGTTCCCGTACATTTTGAAAATCTAATTTTTTCGCTAATCAACGGATTTTTGGCGATTCTGATGTTTTTTTTTTATTCTACGGACATTTTTTGATACGAAATGTTTTCATTATAGTAAATTTCAGCCTTTATTAGAATTTTTTCTCTGGAGCCATGACGCCTAAAGAGAATCGAAGCGCTAATCAAAGTGTACGGGAACTTTTGCACAACCCTGTACATTAGGGACAAAATCGGTACTCTAGACAGTTCCGAAGTTGCATTCGAAATGGGAGCTCTATCTGCCCTGCTCGTCCAAGAAACTGCGGACGTCTGTAAGAAATCCAAGCCAAATGGAACTCTCCTTCCTACCTGTAGGAATTCGCCCTACGTTAGCTCAGAAAAATACTTGCTACTTTAAAATTTACTAAGCAATACTTGCTAAATAAATTTTAATTTTATGAACACCATTACGAAGAAGAATATTCAGTACTAGCTGGTACCCGTGAAACATTCACGTCTTCGTATTTAAGGTTAATGGATTTCTGTTTCAAAAAATATTAATGAAACACACAACTGGAATTTTCAAGGACCATATTTCGAATCAATAATATCGCGTGCGCCCGCCATTTCCGCCCGCCCCCTCCCTTAAACCAATCCCAGAATATACCAAAATACAGGTTTGGTTCTATAACATTTAAATGAGACAAATTGTTCGAATTAGGAACTTTCCTGCATCAGGTGAAGAAGGGAAGATGTTTCCCATCCTCATGGATCTCAAATTTCCCTTTTTAGTCTCCGAGTTTCAACTCAATTGGACTGACCCGACCCGCGGATCGGGCTGCAGCTCGGTCCAGAATCGAGTTTCCTATTAAGTGCAGGCGAATACGCTATCAGAAGGATTTTTTGCAAAAAAGGGTACCTCGTTCCGTCAGCACTCGACGCGATGGGCAAGCAATCCGTTCCGCTGCCAGCTGTCGAACACGACAGGTCAGCACTAACGTGACGTCATGGGAAAACTGGATGCGTCAGCAGCGCCGCTTAGAAAGAGGACGAACCCAGGGACCCGAGTTCTGAACTCAGAGGCCTAAGCGGGCTGTGGGTTGGTGCGATCGGCCCGACACGACCCGTGGAGGGAAGGAAATCCGTAAATCTCGGTCCGGCGATGGAGTTTTGGGTCCGGTAGGACCACGATTCGAATCGGACCGATCAGGTCGGTTTCGGAAAAGTTCACCAGCGCAAGCTCAGGCAGACAGACAGGAAGTCGTAACCCGTGAAATATTCACGTCTGATTATGACTAATGGAATTCAGTGGAATAGCATTCAAATGAGGC